ACCTAGGAGTTACATTCTGAGACCCATAGCCAGCTGCTTTTTTTTTTTTTTTTTTTTAACTTTAGCCTTCCTTTCTTCTGTTTCATATCACCGTGCTGTGGCTGGACTGACAGAAAAATGGTACAAGTTCTACAGAAGACAAACAACATTGTGATCCTTTCTGAATCAGGAGAGCAGAGAGCCAAATAGTAGTAAAAAATATACACTAGTCTAACAGTAAAGGAATAAATCTTTAAAACACCCAAACTACTCTGTCTTATCAGTGTCCTAAGTTTATTTTCCATTACATTACCATGGACAGCTAATTCTGTATACCACATAAATATTGCTTTGGTGCCTAGATACTATGGAGAAACGTACCTTTTATAAATGCATAAAAATATAAATATTTTAACTTATGTGCCCTAGGAAACTAGGTAAATAAAAGATTTTATACAACGAAAATACATCTTAAGCTAACTATAGGATATGTTGTAAATAAAGAAGAAAATCCAAACTACAAAATGTTGCAAAATTAGGTCTACAGCCAGAGTTTTCTGATATAGTTAACTTAAACACAGCCTGCACCTGGCTCCTTCACACTCCAGTTGCAAGAAAACCACTTTTCTAAAGTCAAATAACATAATAAATAAGCATTATCCCTCTCTCACATAACAAACTGCATCTGCAGACTCACCATTGGAATGAGTATTCATTGTATGATACAGAACACATTCATAACCATCATATTGATACATTAAATGGTTTTTTTTCTTTGCTGGTATATAGGCTGTTCTATTCAATAAGCTTGTATAAAGAAATTTTTCTTAACATGACTGTTTTAATCAAAAATAACTTACTAGGTTGCCTTTCCAAAAGATAAACATAAATGAGCTAAAGCTAATAGTATTCTTATGTACTGTGCTTTGTGGTTAGAAGGGAAAAAAATCTCTTAAATCCTTTCTTCTGGGGAGTTTGACTTCCCCCTTCCCAATCCCCGACATCATGTGTGTTGGCTGTACATACTGAAATAATTTGCATCAAGGAGCTAAGTGATATATAATCAATTTTGTTACTCCCAAAATAACAATACTACAAAAATATTCTCTTGCTATCCTAATCAAGTAGGGTATCCTTCCAGGTTGAATAGCTATTAGACTTTTTTTAAGTTCAGATTCTCCTACACATAATTAAGCCTCATCATTTGAACTGCAAGGTTATTAATAGTAAGAAAGCAGAATGAGATTTGTATTTCCTTAGTGTAAGACTATCTCAGAGAACAAAACACTTTGTTTACAAAAAGGTAGAATGGGGGGAGAGAGAGGAATTAAGAGCTAGGGCTGTTATTTTCTTATTAAGACACAAGGGATTTGTGTATAATGCTCATTAGAGTTTATCAAAGTTACTTGCATAAATCCTCTATGCCTTGATGAATGGATCCTTTGTATGTGTGTTATAGTTAGAAATATGTTGTTACCTGAGGTAACAACTTACTGAATAATAGTTGTAATTTTGAATGTAGAAAGGCAATTGGCCCTCGCCGTCTGGGTATCTTGTATAATTCTGTTTGCTCTGTTAGTAGATGGTTATGGCTTTGATGCTTTGATATTACAACACCATACAGCTGTGAAGCAGAAGTAGTGAATCCAGTGGCTCACCGAGACTGTTTAGTTTGACCAGTCTGTATTGCTAATATGGTTGAAGAGAGGGCAACAACTGTTTGTTGCTTTATTAAGCTATTTCAGAATTTGTTTCTCTTTAAAATAGTGCAGTAGACTTTCCTTGGAATTGAAAGCCGTTGTGGGGTTATTTCAGGTTCTCAGAAAACCTAGTTTAAGTTGGTCCCAAGTAACACATGGATAAAATTTTGCACATGAAATGGTTGCATGACTGTTGTAACAGTAGAAAGGGAGAAAATGCTTGGCCCAGTTTAAAGGATGATTTGCTTTTTTAAAACTTTTAACTGGCTAAAATGCACCAATAGCATTCCCGTTTGAATTTTTGTTCATCTTTTCCTCCCCCTCCCAACCCTTTCTAGATGGCTCCTAGCTATGCTGGTCTCTACACTGTGTAGCATTGTCATCTGGTGGATTGTTTGTGGCTCCCTTCTTCCCAGCCTGCTATTCAGTCTAGATGGTTTAAGAACATAGTAACCTCAGGACCCCCTGAGAAAGAGCCACTGTGTAAGTGTCCCATTCCATTTCTCTACAATAGTTCACTTTTTCTGTCCAATATATTTCATAACTGCATGCTTTCATATCAGCTTTCTTATTGGCTTTGTTGCAAGGGTAAATTTCATTGTTCTACCTTTTTCTAAGAAAAGATTTCTTGAGTGATTTTAAAATAAAGTAATTGTGTGGCTGGCTTGCAATATCTCTTTGAAAGATGCAGAGCAATTACAAGTAGGACAGTTCATAGTTCCGAAGTTTTCTTCTCTGCATGCTACTGCAAATATTCTGAAATATAATTTTAAAAACAAATTACATTGTTTAAAGTGTGCTTTTTGTCCTTTGCCTATCGCATATGCATCTGGAGAGGTTTAGCTCCTATTTTAGTTTGGATTTCTTGAACTGGCTGTGAAATTGCTTAGTTTCCCCACAGATGAGCTTGCCCATATTAACTGCTTTAATCCCTGGAGTTGGGATTTTCAATTTCTGGCAATAGATCTGGTTTTGCTAATGGACTACATTATGCGTACAACAGGACAAAAATCTTTTTTCTAAAATCTGTCTGCCATGGGTGTAGGCCTGCAGTATTTAGTCCAGCCATGCATAATTACAAATTTAGCCCTTTTGTATGATTGAAAAATTGATATTTTGTTGAATAAAATTTTGTGACGATAGTCTGTTCTCTGTCACTCAGATTGCAGTAGCCATTTCGGTTTCTGCATATTCATGCCTGGAGGTTCCTTTGACTACCTCTTCTGTCAGAATGATCACACTGATGAATAGCTCTTGCCAAAGAAACCTAGTTTTCACTTTGCATTTATGATCTTTTTTAGTGTTTTTTTTCCCCTACCCCTAAAAAGACCCCAAAACCTCAACCTTTTGGATAAGTAAGGTGTATGCATCAGAGAAATTTGCCTGATAAACCCACTGCACATTCCTCTCCTTTTGTGTAAGTCTTGTCACTGTGGAGTTTGCTTGTGCAGAGAACTCTGACCCAGCAAGAATAATTACTCTGGTAGCACACTAGAAACGTCAGTTGCTGCTAGAAAAAGTGGGTCCAAAATGTAATATCCTAGAGTGGTAAGCATAGTTTAAAACAGTCTTCTATGCTTTCATGTTAAACATGAAAGCTAAGCCTTTCAGTCTGCTGCTACTTTGGCCTCACCACAGCACCCAAAAAAGTAAGAATCTACTCTAAAGTTAAGGAAGAAAAATGCCCAAGCAATAATCAAAGTCCCTGGAGTGCGGGCAATTCTTGATCAGGTGGCACAGCCCTATAACTGGAAAACCTATGATCAAAAAAGAAAGATTTATCTTTTATTAAGGAAGAAAATTCAGACTAAATGTCCATCCACTGAATGAAGAAAATGGTGCCATCCTACTGGTAAAACCCAATTGTCATATTAATCTTAGTTAGCTAAAATCTTTAGTAGTCTACAAAGAAGACTTAGGCAGAGAATAGGCACCCATTTAGGCACCTAAATAATGTACCTGATTTTCAGAGGTTCTGAATTGAGATTAGTAGGAGCTGCTAGGGTGTCTCAGTACTTTTGAAAACCAAGTCTTTTACTGCCTAAGTATAGATTTAAAAACTGGACTTTAGGCACCCGTTCTTTTAAAACCTTGGTCTTCATTTTCCTATAGCATATAAGAAATCTCTACAAACTCTAGACAGTCCAGAGGAGAGATGCTCCTGTATGTCTCTTCCCAGTGAAGCTTGAAATTAAAATGTTTTCTTACCTTTGCTGATTTCCTGCCTTCATTTTATGTACATAAGAATGGCCATACTGGGTCAGACCAAAAGTCCATCTAGCCCAGTATCCTGTCTTCCAACAGTGTCCAGTGTTAGGTGCTTCAGAGGGAATGAACAAAACAGGTAATCATCAAGTGATCTATCCCGTCGCCCATTCCCACACTAGTTACTAACATTTTAGGGGATTTTTAAAGCACTGACATACTAGTTGATAAAGTGTGAAGTTTGGACCTACCAGCCTTGCTGTTGTTGCATTTATGTCTGGTTTAACAATCCTTTGCTTGTTAAGGTGCTGTGTACCAGCTGGAACAGAAGTAGTGTCTTTGAGTAATGAAGGTACTTCTGTTTAATATAGGGTGCCTTTTGAAAACATGAGGTTCTGGGCAATGGAACAACAAAGTGAAGGTTCCATTACAGATTAATTATAAATGGAGAGAGACTCCTTGCACTACAGTACAACTGCTGCTCAAATACAGTGTCCAAAAGTCTAGAAGGATGTTGATAAATTGGTGATGGTTTAGAGAAGAGTCTTGAGAATGATTAAATTATTGGAACATATGTCTTGTAGTGATAAGGTTAAGGGATGATTTGTTCACAATATTTAAGTACCTACATGGGGAACAGAAATTTGATAATAGGGGCACTCTTCAGTGTAGCAGACAAAAGTGTAACAAGAACCAGTGGTTGGAAGAGTTAAAGTTAGACAAATTCAGACTAGAAATAAGATGCAAACTTTTAAGTGAGAATAATTAACCATTGGACCAACTTACCCAGGGTTGTGGGGATTCTCCAACACTGGCAATTTTCAGATCAAGATTGGATGTTTTTCTAAAAGATATGCTCTAGTTCAACCAGAGCTATTGGACTTGAAGCAGGAGCTGATACCGAGATGTTCTGTGTCATATAGGAGGTCAGACTAGATGCTCAGAAAGGTCCCTTCTGGCCTTAAAATCCATGAGTGTGTGTGTGTGTGTTATTGAGAGAATTGTACCGTTTCCTATAGTTAAGCCTTAGACCTGGAAGCAGGATTAAGTTTCTTATGGACAGTCATCCTAACTTCATAGTGTCATGGAAGAGCATACGTACTTCAGAGAAGATTCACAACCAACAGATGGTCAGAATTGCTAACATATTTGCTTTAATGCTTTTTTTATATTTGCAAATCTGTATTAACTGCACAAAACATAAAGTAAGTGTTAAGGTTACACAGTTAAAATATAAAAGCCAGGAAAAGCAAAAAGTAAGATTCCTATACTAATGTTAATTTGGCCTCATTATGGATATTTAGTAATATGTTACATTAAGGTTTCTATCAAATTCACAGCCATGAAAAATGCATCACGGAGTGTGAAATCTGGTCTCCTGTGAAATCTGGTCTTGCATGTACTTTTACCCTGTAATACACAGATTTTATGGGGGAGACTAGCATTTCTCAAATTGAGGGTCCTGGACCAAAAGAGAGTTGTGGGGTGTGTGTTGCAAAGTTATTTTAGGGGGTCGGGTTTGTCACCCTTACTTCTGCATTGCCTTTAGAGTTGGGTGGCCGTAGAGCAGCAGCTGTTGGCTGAGTGCCGAGCTCTGAAGGCAGGTCTGCCTTCAGAGCTGGGCTCCCAGCTAGCAGCCACCGCTCTTCATTTGCCCAGCACTGATGCCCACAGCAGCAGCGCAGAAGTAAGGGCAGCAATACCACAATCTACCCTATAATAACCTTGCAACCCCCCTGCAACTCTTTTTTGGGTCAGGATCCCTACAATTACAACACGGTGAAATTTCAGATTTAAATAGCTGAAATCATGAAATTTACAATTTTAAAAATCATATTATGTCAAATTGGCCAAAATGGACCATGAATTTGGTAGGGCCCTAGTTATATTCCTGCTTTCCTAGATAAATGTGTACCTGAATTTCTCTGTTTTACATTGTCAAAACCATAAAGTATAAAGAATGTGCAATGTGGCAGAGTTAACATTCAATGTGGGAACATTTACTTAACTTAGCAACCTTGAGGTTTAATTAGCCACCTAGTTTTTCTACTTACAGACTGACATTTCTGGAGATGTTCTAATTTTATTTTTGTGTGTGATGGAAAAGAGGAGACTAAGGGGGGATATGATGGAGGTATATAAAATCATGAGTGGTGTGGAGAAAGTGAATAAGGAAAAGTTATTTACTTGTTCCCATAATATAAGAACTGGGGGCCACCAAATGAAATTAATGGGCAGCAGGTTTAAAACAAATAAAAGAAAGTTCTTCGCCCAGCGCACAGTCAACCTGTGGCACTCCTTGCCTGAGGAGGTTGTGAAGGCTAGGACTACAACAGGGTTTAAAAGAGAACTAGATAAATTCATGGAGGTTAAGTCCATTAATGCTGTTAGCCAGGATGGGTAAGGAATGGTGTCCCTAGCCTCTGTTTGTCAGAGGATGGAAATAGATGGCAGGAGAGAGATCACTTGATCATTACCTGTTAGGTTCACTCCCTCTGGGGCACCTGGCATTGGCCACTGTCAGCAGACAGGATACTGGGCTGGATGGATCTTTGGTCTGACCCAGTATGGCCATTTTTATGTTCTTATGGTGAGATTGCTTATGCTGCTTCAATGTTAATATTTAAGCCCTGCTAAGACTAAAACAAGTTTCTCTCACTATTTCCCTTCTGTCCACACAAGCAAGAATAAACCATGTTGTAACATGACTTGGCCATAGACCTATTTAAGAGTGATTATTTTTGTAGGGTAGGCAGGGTCTCTTGTTCCAGTTAAGCTTTGAAGTGATTAGTTTGATGGAGAGGGAATACTAGCATTCGTTGCTGTTAGTATTGGTTGCTTGGAGACAACTTTCTTGCCAAACTGAATTAACAAAGTGGCATCAGATCGGTTCACATTCTAACGATTGTACCACAGCAGTGAAAAGACATCATTTATTTTTAATATGAAAGCTTAGAATTTACATAATATTTGATAATGCAATATAAATTACAAAGAGACTTTACATTTTTTGGAATCTGTAAGGTTTTTTTTTTTTTTACTCCAGAACTGTCTGGGCCATTTTCTTCCATTACTTTGTGTATAGTTATGAGTTGTTGTTGTGAATGTTTGCTTTGGTATTAATAGAGTAGTCTATGTTAATTTCATTCCTCTTCTTTGTATAATTCTGTGGGGAAAGTGGCTGTGTTCAACTTGGTGTGGTCTCCAGGTACCTGTGGTGTACATCCTGTCTGATTCCTAAATCAAAGTTTGGAGATAAAATATCTGCCCTGGAATTT